ATTTCCACTAAAATATTTGCAAAAGTGCACAATGAATTCAAGTATTTTTGGAAGGAAATATTTAGGTACTTTCTTACAGAAAAAAAAAAGTAAATTATGCTGGGGATAGTTTGCGGGGGTTGTTTTATTTTGATTCATTCTGCTTTTTCCTACAAAGATGCTGAAATTGGCTGGTTGACTAGGATTATTGTACAGTAATTCACAACTGATGAAGAACAGTAAATCAAGATCTTTTTTTAAAAATCAGAATGCTGATTTGGAAACCTCATTCTTCCCTTATACACTATGAAATAAACTGATTACATGTCTAAGGGACAGAAAGAAAAAGAGAAGAGGGTAAAATATAGAAGTGCATTTTTTCCTAGCAATTTCTCCCTAAGCTTTATAGATAATTAGATTTTTAAATACCTTCGTGGATCATGTCTGCTCTCTATGAATTCCCTGAGTAACTGCATCTAAGCTTGCGTATTGCAAGTACAACGTGTTTTGCATGGGTACCATGGTACATACCAAAATGTTGATACCTTATTCTATAGTGTCCTATCACTGGATTGTTTATTAATGGTTAAAACAAAGATAACTGTCAACTAAGTAATTTCCTGTATATTACAGCAAATAAAAAAAGCACTGAAAAGACAATTTGACTGATGATACACTGTTTTTGACTAACTCAAAATGATGAAGGTAAACTGGGATGAAGAATGAGAAACAATACCAAACCGTCAGTGGCCATGTCTACTAGATTGGTGAGAATGGCTCTTCTTATCTGTTAAAATTGGTGGATCTGGCAAAAGAAAAACTCAAACAAAGGCTCCCCCAAATCCCACCCCAACAACCTGTCCGTGCTCCCTGGAGCAGCGCTGGTAGTCTGACCCTGCGCTGGAAATCACTCCGCAAAGAGAGGGTTTCTGCTCAGCACTGGGGTCAGCCCGGGCGCTCCGCTTACTGAACTTCAAGGGTGAAATCCTGTTTATACAGAAGAAAACTGGCTTTGTTATGAATCCTACCACGTAGATAAACTACTCACAATGTCTTTTATTTGGAATGTTAAATTTATTTCAGATCCAGTGTTCAAATGAGTGCATTTTGTGACATAGGCTATCAGTGTTTTCTTTCAGCCCAGTAATGTTTTAATACAATGGAAAATCTAATTGTGAAAGTGAAAAATTCTGAGTGCTTCAAAGTATTAAAGGAGGGAAAACAAATACTGTTACTGGCTTGATATTATAATCAGTTACTTAGATAAGGTGATTGCCTTAGACTAGGAGCCTGATTAACAGTATTACTTATTAAAAAGTCAGATTTGGATAAAATTGAATTGAAATGAGAACATTTTGCTAGTATGTCCAAAATAATATATATAGTCTGAAGACAGTATTTAAATGTTCTAAGGAGATAAACATCTTAATGGTCTCTCAACAGTACAGCTTTCTCTGTAAAACTTGGCTTCAAATAACAATAGAAAAGTAATGTACAACCTACTTATGCATGTTTATATCCTACTGACATATGTGGGTGTTGTGTACATACTCTAGTGCAGAGCTTGGCATTGTAATGGCTTTGATCCCATGACTGTAAGTTTAATGAGAGAACTTCTCAGTTACTGCAAGGGGGCAAAATCAGGTCCAAAACGCTTTGTGTTGTTATAAAAAAGAAAAAAAACCCGCTAGTATTTGCTCTCACAACCTTTTAAGATATATATTTACCACATTAAAATTTCATAACAAATACGTAAAACAAATAAAGCTACACTCATCCTAACACTATTTTAGTTCCAGAAAAATACCCACTAGATCTTTCAAGGTTAAGAAAACAATAAAATAAAAGGGTGCCCATTCAGTCTTTTTTTTACTTTTGTGTCTTGCATTTGTTATCATTTAAAAAAAAAAAAAGTTTTCTTAATTTGAAATTGGCTGTAAAGAAGAACAAAACCATAGAGAACAAAGCAGAAAATACCATTTGATTATTGTGATTGCATCTTGCACTTGGGTGCACGGTCTGTCTCTAAACTCTGACTCATCTGCCACCAGCAGGTTTTAAGGTGATAAGCACCCACACAGAGCTATTTGCACATCATATCTATCCTATCCTGTATCTAATTATACCCTTTATAACAAACTGTTTAGCATAATTAGTGGAGTTATGCTTTACAGGAATAAAGATAGAAGCTGTAGTTTAGAAGATTCAACTTTTTTGAAGGCACACGTGTACAGATTAGTAACTTTGATATTTGGTCACAATAATGAACATTTTGATGCATTGGTCTATGTAAAATTGTACAATCATTATTTTAGCAAGTAAAATAATGTTGTTTTCAGAATATTTACATACTGTATGTAAGCATTGCTTAAAATTATGAAATGGTTTTGGGACTCATTAATTGCTAATACTTTCACCAGTATTTTTCCAGACATGGCTGAAAAATGCTCAAAGGGCCAGCATTGGAATCAAGAATGCTGGAAATGACCAGAGAACCTATTATTCAACTAGATAGACAACAGCAGGTACAAATGACCTTAATGGGAAAGCTCTGATTTTTTTTTTTCTTCTAGATGATCAGAAAGGATGTTTACTTAATGACCACTCTTTCTTTGTGTTCAAACTTTAATGATGAGCTGCTTTAATACAAGATCCTTTGAGGTAAAAAAGGAATAGAGAACGAGACATGTATGTGCACGCGGGTAAATATATTTTATTTTTCTTTGCTTGCTTTCATTGTGGTCTTAAAAGCGTTAAATGAACATCGCTTGCAGTGGCATCTTCTTTGTATGCTGGCAGTTTAGCCTTCATAACCCCCCGCCCCAACCCCATCCTCCTTATATACTAGGAAAAAGCTTGAAGCACACAAAAGTCAATACCCACCCGTGCCCCTGTGTCTCCTGAGAGTAACTCCCTGTCCCCAGATGGGGAAACACTCTGCTGATATGAACACAAACATTGTATTAGCATAGACAAAAGAAGAAATCATGCAGAATCCATTAAAGCAGCCGCAACTAATTAATCTTGTTTGGTTTTATTTGTTAATTGTACTTCTGTTAAATTCTCTTAGAGACCAGGATAAATTTATGGGTTCTATCCTTGTTTAATTATAATTCTGCTATTTCTATTTTATAGGAAAGATGTTCAGAACATTGTGCAAGTAGAACTATTTTCCCCCTGAGCTATTTAAGAAAAAACACATGAAAAAACCAAGCAGAGTATCAGTATTTACTTGTGCTCATGAAGAGATGCTTGTGCTTCATCATTTCCAGGTAGGCAAAGAAATTTGTTGAATTCTACCACATATTATTCCAAGACATTTACAGCAGATTAAAGACAAAGCACAAGATAAGACTTGCAGAAACTCTTGTATTTCCTATGGAGTGTTAAACAGAACTTTCTCCATTTGTACTAGTCACCCCAATGTAAAATACAAAGAGGTCAACAATGCATCCTTTCAGGTCACCGTTGTTTAAAAGGTATTTGAGTTTCCCTATTAAGTTTTCAAAGGCCAACATCTGCTGATGCTCAGAAATGGTAGATGTGGTGACAAAGGCTGTATGGAGTGTGAAGTGAAAACACAACCATATAGTCCATGCAAGACAGTACTAAGAAACTATAGCACAACCAAACTCCAAAGAACTATTTTCCCATTCATCCCATTTCTGTTATTAATGGCAGGAATATTCCTGAGAACAGTGACATAAACTTCTCTTTCATTTAGTTCATTTTTTTGGTTATAAATACATGTATAAACACAATGTTTTGAAAATAGCAATCATGCAAATGCCAAAGGAGATCCTAGAGCAGGAAAATTACATTATTAAGATTGAAGGCTTTCATTTGCACGTTATTGTCATTGATGCTGTTTCACTATTTAAAGCGGCAAAACAGATGCCATGGCATTCAGCTGTTAGTGCTGCTCTCATTTGCAAGGAGGCTAGTTTTGATGGCATTTGACTTGCTGTCTAGAGCTTAACAAATCAGCACCATTCATGAGCTTAAGTAAACTGAGCTGATTTATAAATTGACAGACCTGACCCTGCATCATAAGAGGTGAGGCAGTTTTACCCAAATTATTAGAAGCTTTTCAGTTGGATATCAGGTATGGCAAATTGCATTTTACTACTGTGATATTTTATCATTGTGATAATCCTGCATCACACAAGTTCTGTTTGGGGAATATTCTTTCAGTCAGCTGCAGCAGGATCCCATTTCTACCTGCCTGCTTTATTTTTAATCAGCTAACGCGTTGTGACTGTGTGCACTTCTCAGCTCTGGAACTCGGTCAGACTCACGGCTGAGCTACTGTGCACTTAGTCCCTTCAGGTGTTTTATTTAATTAATCATCTATTTCATTGATATACTAGTTCTTTACATAACGGTTTTACGGTTTTGTTATAGTTTAAGTGTAATATTTTGGTGCTTTAATTGCATACAGGAAAGTAGGTTTTTGTGAAGGAACAAAATTCTGTTTATTTTGTGGAGTAAAGCCTGGTTCAAACGCCGCTGGAGTTAATGCAAAGATTCCAGCAGATACACTGCATTTGCTAAGCTACTTCATAAAAATGAAAACTCTTCCATTTATAAACTCTTCCATTTGCTCTTCGATTTTACACACACACATACGTGCATGAAAATTAATGGTCCTATACTTCTCTGTTATTAGCAAACACTTTTTTTTTTTTTTTTTTTTTGAAAAGATGCTCAACAAATATTTTCTGTGGAACAGTGTCTTAATTCTCTGTATAACACTCAGTTTTATAGCACTCAGTTTTCATCTGCTGATCAGAACTGATCAGCAAATCTGCGGTTGAAGGGAGACGTGTTGTCAGGGGTGACTTTCTCTCTGACCATGTAACACGGTTACATGTTAATGCAACAGAGGAAGGCCAATACATAGCCCCTGCACTATAGAACACATTTTCAGAGAAACATTATCTGCAACAGAAAGGGATGTTGGGAAATTAGATCCGAGAAGCTGAATGACAATGCAAAACAATACTTGTTTTATTACTTACTACCAATACTGGAAATACTGGGTATACCTGTAAAGAAAACACAAAAAAGTACAGTTAGCTGTTTGCTGTGGTTGGCTGAGCTATGACATCTCAGATTCTGAAAACAGTTTTCTCCTAATTTTCAGAATATTATCTCAATACATAGTTAAACCCAAGCAACTGCCAGTATGTACCCAGCCCTTTATAAATGCAGACCCTCTAGATTTTTCAGTATGAGGCTGCAGGGACCACTAAAATGTGTTGACAGATGGGTATTTCTGGGACCTACACCAGCTCTCTGAACTTCATGAATTTGTTCAGAACAGTTTTGTGTTTCAACTAACCAGCCATTAGGTTTAATGCTCTAGATAAAAATATCAGTCATGCATGTATTATGCAGATCTAGGAGAATAATTTAACCAAGGGATAGATGCATTGCTAACTGCTTTGGCCAGCTGCTTAAATCAGTTGATACCTTCTGTTGCATTAACTCTATATAGCTATTTTTTTCCTTTTTTACCTGATGGTTATCTAAATTAAGCTATGGAAAAGAAAGGTAATTGAGCGAAACAATCTAATGCATTGGGCTGGTCATATTGACTAAGCCTCTCATTGATTTTTTTTTTTCTTTTTTTTTTTTTTTTCCTGCTTTCATTTCAATTCCTAAGCTGAATTAATGCAAGGAAACCATTCCAGAGGCAGGTGAGATTTACCAGAAGAGGTGGGGCTGCTGAGGAGTACAACTCCTCTGCTGGGTTAGAAATGCGGGATCTCATGTTGCATGATGCAGTCCCAACATGTAGCTTCTTGTCAGGTCTGCCCTGAAAGGTGTGTAGCACAAAAATCCAGACATGAAATCTGTCCTGAAATGCCATTTTGTTTAGATTAAATGGCATTGGTAATATGGCACCATTGCTAATCTCTTGGGTTAAAGTCACAAACTGCAGATCAGAGTTTAAATCCTGGATATTTGCATCCTCTTAGTTAAATACAGTTTGCCTTTTTTAAGTTTTATTGACTTTTGATGGCATGCATTTTACTGCAGGAATCTGTCTGTTTCTCCATTAAAGATCTGCTACACTTCTTTCAACATCTGTCTTGAAGTTCTGTCTTACTCTGAGACGGTATGGACCTCATTCTGCAATTAAGCAAACTGGAGCAAAGGAATGTCTTGGGGATAAATGATATTCACTGTAAGCACTCGTAAGTTGTAGAGTCAAGTTGGGAACATTTCTAACTCGTGGCACAGCTAAGCCAATGCTGAAGCAATTGAATTTGCAGAATGGCGGCCATAAACAGATCTTTTGTGTTTCACCACATCAGTCCTGGGGCAGATGTCAGACTTGCAGCTCTGGTTCCATATCCTATGGAACCCGTGGTCTGGCAGAGCGCCGGGCACCACACTGGAGACAGTGCCTGCTGCTAACCGAGCCCCATGCTCGGATGTTTGCAAACCTAATTATATCTACTTCTGCTGAGATTAACAAGTATTTACCAAAATTTTAGAATCATGAGGGATTAAAAGCTAAATAAAAGTATCATCATAATAGAAGAATGCTGTTATAGTTCTAAAAGTAACAAAAAGTGCTTTTTTCCATTAGAATAATGTAAGAGAACTCCTATCCTTTTGCCTTAAATGTCAAAAAGGCAATCAATTTTCAAATAATTTTCCATGAAGTTTCGATAGCAGCTTGTTTACATTTTTGCAAGTCATTGTAGCTGTTCTAAATTAGCAGGATTCGTTTTCCTTTATACGCTGATGGAAACTGCACAAATATTAGATAAAAGACAGATACCGCCTTCTCGCACTCACACTTCCACTGTGAAATGGTATTTGTATTTCCTCTGGGTATACTCCCCCGCCTCAACCCTCTTTCTCTCCTACACGCACATACAAATACCCTTTCCTTTCTCTCCTGAACAGATTGCAGCAAAGGGAGAGGTTTTCCTGCAAGTCTGCTCTCCTCATTTTACTGTATTTCAAAATTTTCAATGAATTCACAGTGATAAATGCTTCCTGGGCAGAGAATAATGAAAACAAGACGCCTGCTAGCCTGAAGGGCTCTCCATTAACCTTGCGAAGTTGTCTTCGGGTTCTGTTTGAAAAGCTCTTTTTCTATTTCTGTTCTGAGTTTCTGGGTTGGTGTGATCTTCTGTAACTAGCTTGATTTTTCGTAATACCAGGTATTCCTGCGTGTGGTGACTGGCCTTGATAGTGCACTACTTTATGCCCTTTCTGCTAAAGAGAGTGAGAATGGCACGTCTAAGTTTGTCTGGAAAAGAGCTGGTTATGTAGGGCCACGAAGCAGGATCTATTAACACTCTGTGAAAACTGCACATATGACGGGAAAATTATTCTTAGTAAGAGTGGTTTTGTGAGATCTGGAGTTATGTATTGAGGCTAGCTCTTGAATTCAGCTGAGCTGTATTTGGTGCAAGTCCTTAGGTAACGAGGCACAGGCGGTGTGATTCTGCTTCTCCCGCTCTGTCAATGTGGAGGCATGGGGGGCCCGACCCCACGGCTCCTCCTGTGGCACCACCGCTGGGGACACCAACAGGCTGTGGGGACTCATCCCACCGCTGCTGGCCCTTTGGGTGGAACTCGGTATGTTACGTGACATGGATCGTTTCCAGTCAGCCTTCTATTGAAATCTGTGAGTACTTTGCAGCAGTGAAATGATGTGAACAAGTTATAGAGAGAGATGAAGAATCAGGCCCGTTACTTCCCTTGATGCACAACTCTATTTAGCTAGACATAAAGGGTAAAAAAACCCAAGTGACTGCATTTATGTATATTCAGTTGTTAAATAAAAGCAATGTTCAGTCTAAATTATCTTCCAGTTGAAATCACCGGGATGGTTATTAATGGTAATAGTTTTATAGTGAGGAAACAGCAAGTAAAGCATGCAACGGAAGTTCAGGGGTAGCTACTGCCCCCAAAATGGCAAACATTGCAGAAGAAAGTCTCTAATCCTATTTATTATTTTTGACTTGACTTGAGGGTGGTGGTTTGGTATATTACATGTTCACTGTAAGTGCATCTAAATATACATGCATTACTTGAGAGAAAAAAATCTGGTGTTTTCCTTTCACACAATCTTCTGCATCTGCCCTGTAATTTTCTCGTTTCCCCTTTTTCCAGAAATGGGTTGTTTTAGCTATTAGCTACCATGGAGCTGACTATTGATAATGGAGAAAAAAGCAAACCAGATGCTAGCAAAGAAAGCAAGTTTTTGATTTCTTCTATAGTTTGTGTCAGCGTGAAATCCATAACACAAAGGAACAGCGTCAAGCTTTCGGTGAAAAAGGCCACGCTGCTGCTTCCAGTCTCAGGGCGGGTCACACGCTGCAGTCCTTCTTATCACCTCCATCGTCAACGCCTGTGTGTGCTTCCCGCCAGCACTGCAATTAATGCAGCCAGGCTGCATCTCTTCCCGAGCAGGGAGTACGTGTGGGATGAAGGAATTATTCTGTCAACTTGGTCTTGGCTACCATCTTTCCCACGGGCTTCTCTGCCTCTTCTCCATCACAAGTTGAACGTGTACCTGCCGTATGACAGGGAACTGGGGATGGGCTCCTGCTGCTATCAAAACACTACACCCAGCTCAC